AGAGATGCAGATGAAAACAACACTGAGATTCCACCTCACCCCACAAAGAATGGCTGCTATCAAGAAATCACACAATAACAAATGTTGGCGGGGTTGTGGGGAGAAAGGAACCCTTCTCCATTGTTGGTGGGAGTGCAGACTAGTGCAACCACTATGGAAATCAATATGGAGATACCTCAAAGAGCTTGGACTGGAGGTTCCATTTGACCCAGCCATCCCTCTGCTGGGTATCTTTCCAAGAGAACTAAAAGAATCATATCACAGAGAAGTATGTGCACCCATGTTTATAGCGGCACAGTTTGTAATAACCACTAAGTTTTTAAAGCAAGGCAGAAATAAAGTTGCATCTGTGTTAAAACTCCGACCCGGTTAAAACTACAAAGGAAGACTTTGGGATTTGCTCAGTGGCAAAGTTCTTGATCACCATGAGGGTGGCCGTGGCTTCAAATCTCCAACTCGGTCTTTGCGTCAGAAGAGGAGGATGTATCCCGGTGAAAACACTACAGGCGATTTTAATTTGCTTCTACACTATTCAGTCTTACAAAACTTCTGACCAGTCCAAGTATCACATTTCTGACACACTAAAAACATTAAAAGAGTAAGCCCAACCTGGGCACTGCCCGTGGAGTCTTACCATTGTGGACGAAGCCATGACCACCCACCCCTACCAACTCCCAAATTCTAGCGACACAGAGATGACCCAGGCCTGGGGCACTCAACCATTCACCAAGCTGCCGCCTTCTCCTCCTCCTTAGGAGTGTCCTCTCCTCAATAAAAGAAAACTGATTTGCTTAAGAACAGATTATGCCTGACTCCTGGTCGACTGGCCTGCTGGACCTGCTACTTTTAGACTCTGAGTTCCTTTCTGTAGACTTCCCCACAAATTCTCCCAGGAAAGATCCAACATAGGCAGACACAGCACAGACCATCTACTCTGCCCAACAGTGCAGTAACAGTAGCCAGGACTCATTCTTGTGTTCATAGCACAATTTGTGGTTCACACTACTCAGACAACAAAATATTCTGTACTCAAATCAGTGCATATCACAGGCCTAGGGTTTTGATGCTTTGAAGTTCTTTTCTTGCTTCTTTTTATTTTATCCAAGGCCAAAGCAAGTTTCTCATCATTCCCCAGGGACACTGGGCAAGTGTTCTGTTTTCCTTGTTATAGAATTTATGCCTACTGGAGGATTCAACTTTATAAAGGGGAACTCTTACAAAATGTCACCTCTCACTTTCCTCCTGGCTAAGTCTTCTGAACCTGTGTGGGCTTTGGGAAGCAAATCTCGTACTGAGGCAAAACCAGAACTCTGTCACTCACCTTTGTTATTCTGGATTTCATGTTTCCCTGTGTTATAGGCAGACACTTTTCAGTTTAATTGTAGTATTTTAAATCTTTAGGGCTCACTGCAGTCAGAATGCATTGGGATGGGTGAGCAGTTTCTAATAGCTTAATCTCGATCTTGTTGCCAGAAATTGTCCAGGATGATGTTTAGTGTTGCACTGCTCTGAGCAACTTAATCGAAAGTATAATCATATCCTGTCCAGAAGATGTCACTCAGAATAAGGAAAGGTCTTAAATCATCAAAACAAGGAAAACTCTAAAGGACTCAGATGTCTAGGCAGGGATTGAAGCTTTGTCATAAAGAAACTGGAACTAACTTTTCAGTTGCATCAGCTAGGCTCCTTAGGGCCAGTGTGTGAAAGTTACCAAACTTCAGCTCAACACAGAAGAAATCTGTACCTTTGTAGAATTGTACAGTAAAAGATGATCTAATATTTGGTGAACTCTGCTGACAAGGATGTCCGTAATGCACCTAGATGAACATCTGCCAAATGTGGTATTGAAGGGATTTCTATGAGGAGTAAGTGTTCCAATTTTCTTTTTATTAGTAAGTGTCTGCAGTACATAATGATTACATTCCTTGTGGGGTACATATACACAATACATCCTAATTCTCTGCTAATGTGATTTTGTGACAAAGTTCTAATCTCATGGGCTCACCTATCATGTGATCAGTGACTCAAGTAGCCTGGTAATCTAAACATGTACATTAGAGATACTGGGGTGTGGGAAGAAGATATTAACCACCCATGAAATAAATCCTAGAGCAGCCAAAAGGTGGAGGAAAACACAACTGAATGGTCACTTTCTCAGAATCTCCAACTTTACTTTCAAAGAGACGGGAAGCACCTGCCATCTTGTAAATCTTATCCTCCCCCCGCCATGACCCATACTTTATAAACTAAATTCCTTTGAGGAATAACCCTGCCTAAGAGACACCTAGCTAAACATGCCAAAGGTTTTTTAACCATATGTTGCCTTATCTCTTGGAGTTTTCACTCTTACTTCTGTAAACCACACTGCCCCTCCTCTTCCTCTCCTTCCACCTCCTTTTTCCTTTATTGTCTTCCTGTCTCTTTCAGCTCACCATCCATGTCCCTATCCAGCTAGTTTCCCAAATTCCTCCTCCTCTCTCCATTCTTTCACCATCTTCTTCCTCACGTCAGGGTCAAATCTCCCCATTGCGATGGGGATGTCTCCCAAGAACCTCATGTGCTCATAAGTGGGGCTTTTAGAAGGTGACTGTGTAACCAGCTCTCTCCCTCTAGGTTCTCATTCTGAGGTGATGCACTGACTCCACAGAACAGCAAGCAGCAGGGAACAGTGCTGGTACCAGGTCTGGTTTATTAAAAGGACCAAAGAAAAGCCCTTGCTGGACAAGGGAGGCAAGAAGAACACCAAGGAAGCATCCGAATCTAGAAGCTTATACACAGGTTTTGGGTAGAGACAAAGGAGGAGAGGACGGTGAAAATGCAGGTTTGACTCCGCCTGCCAGACTTCCTGTCATCAGCAGACTTCATTAGCTTTTTGCCTTCTGTGCTCCAATTTCCCCTGAGGTTTATCTCACCTTGTCTTTAGCTTACTCAGGCCCCTGCCCTTTGTTCCTCTCCTGGTCTCCAGTGGATTATGGGGGCTTCTAGCTAACTTGTTGTTAGGAGGCGGGGTCTGTTCAGAAGAGGCAGGTCATTGGGGTGCAGCCTGGAAGGCTTTGTCTCCTTGCCAGCTCCTTTCCTTTTCTGTCTCACTGCTTCCTGTCTGCCATGTGGAGAGCAGCTATGCCTCACCTTGCACCTGCACCATGCTGTCCTGTCTCAGAGCGGGCAGACTGAAATGTGAGCAAAAGCAAATCTCTGCTCCTTCAGGCTGCAGGCATCAATCAGGTACTTTGTCCCGCCAAGGAGGGAAGTAACTAAGACTCCCTTGTGCTCCAGCTTCTGACTAGAGCACTCATCCATCTCCCAAACGGAAATGTGCCTGTATTAGGGGAGCCTGAAGGCCTGCCCAGTGATGTAGAGATGCCAATCCTACACTAGTTTCCCTGACCCTTTGTTCAGTTCCTGTTTTGCCCCCAGCCTAGAACCGCGGTGTCAGAGAAGGTGAGATGTCAACCAAGGTTCAGCACAATGAATGAAACTTGAGTTTAGGGAAGTGAACCTGCCTCTTAGAGCAATGCTTTTATTTCATAAGCAGCTTCCACATGTCAGTACTATGCTAAGCACCTGACATTCATTTTCTTCACTTTTGATTCTCACAACAGCTTGATAAGTTGGTAACATTGTCGACCACAGTGTCCAGATGAGAAAACCAAGTCTTAGAAATACAAGGGCTATACAGTTAAAGGGTGGCAGCAAATGAATTTCTTAACTACGAGACAATACACCTCCCACTAGGAGAAGGGATCACTGGAAAGAAATCATAGCTCCTTTGTTCCAACACCTGGTGTGCTTGGAGTAGGAAGGGTTGAAAGTACGAAAGTGAGGCCAAACATCTGTACAAACAAGAATGCCAGAGTTTTGTTTTTAATGACAGTAAGAGAAATCAGGCAAGAAATTCTGTTTAGTTTTCCTTCAATTGCTTTTAAAAGTGGAGACACTCTGTACATAAGAGCTTAGAAGGAAGATTTAAAATCAAGTTTCCTTGCTTTATAAAG